ATTATTTTTATAAAAAATTATATTATTAAACTAAATATAAATTAATTCGTTTTTAAATTATAATAAAAAATTGAATAAAAAAATTAAATAAAAACGAGAACTTATAGTTAATTTAATACTAATATCACTTATTTTTTTTTAAAATTTTGTGATATCTTCAAATTTATATTTTATTCAAAAATAAAAAGATTTACTTTTTCTCAGAACCACATAACATCATAATATTAATAGACCCAAAATATAAAACGAAACATTAAAATCAAGATGCATCTCGGTGCATTGTACGAGTAATAACTATAATATTTAGATAATATAATATTTTAATAATTTTAATTAAATAATGTATATGATAAAATACAAATAAAACAAAAAAAGAAAAGAAATAAAAAGTTAGAAGATTGTAGTCGACAGGATGATTTTGTTAATAGCAAAAAGATAAGGAAAACTTGAAAAGCCATAACTCTTTCAATACTTCAAACCCTCTCTTTAATCCATTTCTTTCTCTTGGTCTTCACGCGGATTCTCACTCAAATAAATCCAATCCATTCTGAATCAAAACCCATCTACAAAAACCATTTCTTTTTCGATTTCATCCCCAAAATCACTCCAAAAACTGTTAAGAAAATGGCGTCAGCGGCCATTTTTTCATCCTTACGTCGGAGCAGGTCGCCGTCGTTAGACGCGTTCCTATCGCCGGTGGATCTAGACGACAACGACGTCGTCGGATTGTTAAATACCCTAACCGCCGTCGCATCGGATCTCATTTTATCATTTTCCGACAAGACGCCGCCGTTCCAGAAGAGGAACTCCAGATCTTTGCTCCGGCGAATCGAATTGTTTGTCGTGTTGTTGGATTCCGTTCGCGATTCAGGTGAGTGGTGGTCCAATTTACCGTCGACGTTGGTGTTATGCTTTAAGGAGTTGTACCTTCTGCTTTACAGGTCCAAAATTCTGCTTGATTACTGCACTCAATCGAGTAAGTTATGGTTGTTGCTTCAAAACCCTTCAATTTCTGGCCATTTTCATGATCTTAATCAAGAAATCTCGACACTTTTGGATGTTTTTCCGATGGACAAATTGAATTCTTTGGTTACTGATGACGTTAGAGAACAGATTGATTTGCTACAAAAGCAATCCAGAAGGGATAAATTGTTCATAGATAAACACGATGAATCATTAAGATTGAAGTTCTTCAATTTGTTGAACGAAATTGGGAAAGGGAACATCCCAAATTCCGAAGATTTCCATGAATTTTTCGTCGGAAAATTGGGGATTCTTAATGCGAGAGCTTGTAGGGTTGAAATCGAGTTCTTGGAAGAACAGATTGCGAATCACGAGTGTGATCTTGAGCCTTCTGCTTCAGTTCTTGGTGGGTTTATCGCCATGATCAGATATTGCAGGTTCTTGTTGTTTGGATTCGAAGAAGATGAAGCAGAAATGATAATGGGGAAAAGATTTAGAAGGATGAAAAGAAGAGGATTGATTTCGAAAGAAATCGCGGATACTTTTCGAACGATCCAAAAAGATTTTTGTTGCCCGATTTCGTTAGATTTGATGATGGATCCTGTGATAATATCCACTGGACAGACTTTCGATCGAGGTTCGATTTCGAGATGGATCGAAGAAGGTCATTGTAATTGCCCGAAAACCGGGCAAGTTCTTGTACACAAGAAGCTCGTACCGAATCGGGCACTTCGGAATCTGATCATGCAGTGGTGTATGGCTCACAAGATTCCTTACAGTCCTCCGGAAAGCTCGGATCTGGTGGCGGAATCTTTTCCGGCTGCTCCGGCAAGTCGGGCAGCGGTGGGAGCGAATAAAGCCACCGTCCGCCTCCTTATTCAACAGCTGGAAAACGGTTTGGATTGTGGTAAAGCCATCGCTGCTCGTGAAATCCGTTTCTTGGCAAAAACAGGGAGGGAAAACCGCGGTTTCATTGCAGAATCTGGAGTGATTCCGCATTTGAAGGCTTTGCTTTCTTCCCGAAGTGCCGTTGCACAGGAGAATGCAGTGACAGCAATGTTGAATTTGTCGATCTATGATAAGAATAAGAGTCGGATCGTGGAAGAAGACGGGTGTTTGAGAGCAATCGTGGGCGTTTTACGATTCGGCCACACGATCGAATCGCGGGAAAATGCGGCTGCTACGCTTTTTAGTCTCTCCGCTGTTCATGATTACAAGAAAAGAATCGCGGATGAAGACGGAGCTTTAGAGACGTTAGCTGGTTTACTAACCGACGGCACGCCGAGAGGGAAGAAAGACGCGGTTACGGCTGTTTTCAATCTGTCGACACACACCGCAAACTGTGTGAAAATGATCGAATACGGGGTTGTCAGAGCTCTAGTCACGGCCTTGAAATGCGACGGCATTGCGGAGGAAGCCGCCGGTGCATTGGCGTTGATCGTGCGGCAACCGGTCGGCGCCGAGGCAGTAGGAAACGAGGAGGCTGCGGTCGTTGGCCTGATCGGAATGATGAGGTGTGGAACACCCCGAGGCAAAGAAAATGCCGTGGCGGCGTTGCTCGAGCTTTGCCGGAGCGGCGGGGCCCACACAACCGAACGGGTCTTAAAAGCTCCATCATTGGCTGGCCTCATTCAGAGTTTGTTGTTTACCGGAACTAAACGGGCTCGGAGGAAAGCGGCATCGCTTGCTCGGGTTTTTCAACGTTGTCATTACGATTCTTTGCATTTCAACGGGTTGCGGTTGGGTTATGGTTTCGCCGGGAACTCGACCGCCGGAAATCTGGATTCAGGATTTCCGGCAGAGACCGTCTCGGTGTCGATGTCGATGTCAGTTTCGGTTTCGTAGTTTGGTAATATGATCATCAACCCCCTTTCTTTACCCCCCAAATATTCATTTTATGTTACTATATATATGTTACTTTATAATCTCATACATTCATTCATTAATATTTACTTATTTGGTAATCTTCTGGCTTGATTTGTACTTTATGCATTAAAAGTTGTACATCGGTTTTGCGATCTCGTAAATAATCGCATAGTTCCGACCGCGGCTTCGCATGTTACGTTAGTTCGTGTTGTTTCACGTGTTTTGTTACCGCAAGTACTTTTTCTTCGGATACGGGGAATCATCCCGCAACGACTTCCACATCGTGCATCGGAGGTTGTACCTTTTCTTGAACATTTATGCAACTAAGAGGATGTTTGGTTCTTGGATTTTGAAGGAATCGGAATGGATAATTCCTTTTATCAAATTCCGAATCCCATGTTAATACTCATAACGAAATGTAAGAATCATTTGAATTCCATAAATTAAAGACTTCATCATTCTTTGCGCTAATCATCATCATGCTACTACTTTGACTCTCAGGCCCCCACCACTAACCCCCTCCCACCACTTCACTATTGTTGTTGTTGTCACACCTGCTACCCAACTCACCATTGATCACCATGTCACTACTGTTCTCATCACAACTGCCATCCCCACTCTCCCTCCAAATAAAGATGGAGATTTCAATTCTTTTGAGAGATTTCATTCTAATTCTATCGAATCAAACGCATGGTCAAATTGCATTTAACTCCATTCTAATTTTTAAGGTCAAATTTCATTTTAAATTTTTCAAAGTCAAATTCATTTGATGAATTCTAATTCCACCAAATTTTATTTTGCAAACTAAATTCCCCCTAAAAAGCTGTTTGGTTGATTGAATTCAAAGGATATCAAGGGAATTGGAATAATCAATTTATTTGACCAAATTTCAAATCCTTCGTTTTGTTTACATGTTGAAAATTTAGGAATCCATTGAATTCCTTAGATTAAAGATTCCACCGTTCCACCAGATATTCCAAAGATTTTCAAATCTATCCAACAAAATACATGGTCCAATTCCATTCCAGTTCTTTCAAAATCAAGTTTTTTAATGGGGGTGGAATTTCATTCTGCTAACCAAACACCCCCTAAGACGTTGTTTCACTGTTTGGTTTATTGAATTCAAGGGATTGCAAGGGAATTGGAATGATTAATTTCACTTTGTTTGGTTCACACGTTGAAAAATGTAGGAACCCTAATTCCTTGTACTAAATGTTTCATCATTGCACGGGATATTCCAAAGATTCTAATTCCATCTAACCAAACATGTAAGTCAAATTTCATTCCAATTTTTTCAAAGTCAAATTCTTTTTATGTATTTCAATTTCACCAAATTCCATTCTACGAACCAAACACCCCTTAATACAGTTTCAGAGTTTGCTTCATCTTTCCCGTTTATGGGAGAACCCTGAGTTTTCGGACTAGATTGTGTGTATATCGACTAATCCTCAAGTACTTTTCGTTTATCCCTAAATATAACATACTGGAAACTTTGAAATAGTCCTAGACAGACTCGAACTAATCCTAAAGTAAAGCCTTTATTTGTTAGTTGAGTTATCCTGAAGACATTTCTATTTCTTTTGTGTATTAAGGTTGTATTTGGTAAATGAGATTGGACAGAACAAGACAAAGTCACATAACTCACTGTTCCTTGGATGGATAAGGTAAAGCCAAATCAAATATATATGATATATCTCATTTGAAAGAAAGGTTTTAAATGACAATAAATTTCAAAGTTTAAAAAAATAAAGATGTATATTTATTTTTTTATTAATCTGGATATCCAACCCGTTATGCGAGCCGATTAATCCCAGAACGACCATCTGCTTTGCAGATAGCCTGGAGTCACCGCATTTGAACCTTCGTGGCCACAAGGGGATTTTTATTCCTTTTTGAATTTGAACCTGAGACCTCATGATACTTTGATCTTTGAAGTCAAAGCCAAACCAATCAAACGATAGATATTTTGTCTCTAATTCTAATTGACTTTTTATATGGAGTTCTGGGGCCTTTCATTTTTCACAAACAAAAAAGTCAAAATCTGAAATGATGGCAAACAAGCACCCATTGCTCTTTGTGTGGTCTAAAATCAATGAAATTGGAAACAACACTTGGTGGTTGTGCATCATTCATGACTCATCCCTCAAAGTGGCTTAGCCTCTATGCATCTAACCATAATATTTATTTTTAACTTTTATTTTATCTCGACTATAAAAAATTCAGTTGGAGTCAGATTCAAACGAGAACAGTAACTAAATAAATAAACATAGAACAATTAAATCGTACATGTACGAATAAAATCGCATGTGATTACGTGAGATCATGGTCACGGGAAAAGTCGCCCATGCACCCATCTATTGACCGTGAGCCGTAATCGTATGTCATTTAAGAGTAAAATCAAATCTGATCTAACTGTTGTCTTATTTTGACCATGTTCTTATTTGATCCTCCCTGACTATAAATAACATAACAAACTAGATTCTTGGCTATGGGTATTCATTTAGTGATGTTTAATTATTACAACATGGCATAATGATTATTTTATTATATTTCGACATTATTTTTACTTGGAATTCAAATGTATAATTGACATGTTGGCTCCGTACCTATTTATAGGGCTTTCGTCAAAGCACTAGGAGTTCTTTTTCAAAGCGGCCCACACGTCTCATCCTAAGTTTCTAAAATTAAATTAAAATAAAACTATGATCGTTTTGAAAAAATATAAAAAAGCTTTATCAGAAAAGTTATCGTCAAATTCATCAACTTCAATTAAATATACAATGACGACTATAAGAAACGATAAATCGGAGATACACCATTTACCTGACTTCATCATTTGATACTGGAATCTTTATTGCAGATTCATCAGCGACCTTGCAATCCTACCAAAGGGTAAGGGTTGTTTACCATCTCCTGAAAAATCAACTAAAAAACACAAGGGGCATAATTGGAAAGAAAAAAAAAGGTGGAAAAATCTACTACTTTAATTCCAGTTTCAAAAATAAATAATCTTCAATCCTCTATTCTCGGAGCAGAAGCTATTTGTTTCTCTGCCGATTCCGAATATATGGATTCTGCTAAAGAGTCGGAATCGAACCCTCCATGAGATTCATAGTTGCATCACTTATAGCCCTCGATTTCATTGAAACGCTACTTGAAACAGCAATTTCAAAAACTAGCTTATGGCTTTTTGAATAAGCTCTGTTACAATGATACATGTACAAAAAGGGGAAGGACGAAATTGGTCCCCCTTATTTAGAACAAGAAGGCTTAGAAAAAGCAAAGGACAAGGCTCAAGAAAATCAAAAAGTGAAGAAAAAGTGGTCACAAGATCTATGGCGGGCCTTTCTTTTGAACTTCAAAATTAACAACTACAGTAACCAGTAGTAGTCAAATACTCCACATTATCAACTACCCATTTTAAGTCCTTTCTTTTCCCAGAAAATCATCCAATTCTCATAACTTTGGATCTTTCATTTAGAAAGATAGAAAAAGCCAACAGCAAGAATCCAAGAAATGATGAGTTGGGGGAGAAAGAAAACGTTTCGGACGACATCTTCAGCTTCGGGTTTCTCTCTAAACACATGGCTTTTGAGGTTCAAGAAGAAGCGAGATGATGCGAAACCCGTATCGGGAAATGGTAGAAGGAAATGGAATAAGAATCCAGTGTCTCCAATGGATGATGGGTTTTACTGGAGGATCTCATTTGATGAAGAAAGGTATGAAGATGAAGTCGTATTGCAGAATTCGGATTATCAGCTCAATGTTTCTCCGGTGAGTTCTCGGAGTTTCAAGAAAATGGCGTCAGATGGGAGAAAGATGAGAGAGTTCATTGGTGAAGAAGGTCGTTTCGAAAGGGTGAGGAGAAAAGGGAAAGTTGGTTCTCCAGAAGCAGTGGAAAAACTTGTTTCCGAAAGCAAACCTGAAGATGGAGGGAGAGTGGCAACTGTTGACAATTCAAGAACATGGCAAAGCAAGTTGAATTCGGATCTTCAAACCATTGTAGAAGATTATGCAATCGAGGATTCGAACATGGAGGAAGAGTGGCAAAAGCTGAAAAACATGAAACTAAATGAGATCAAGTTAAAGAGCGAAAAACAGAGGAAATCTGTTGATGTAAGCAAAGAAATGCATAGGAAAAGGTCAAAGCAGCGTCGTAAAGTCAACGCTTTTTCTCCAAGAACACTCACCAGGGTTGAATGCAGAATCAAAGCTCTTGAAGACATGAAAAGAACACGGATGAAGATGAAGGAGATGAACAAGGAGAAAGCCGTTAAAGATGCATTTAGAACTGGTCTCGATAGCTTTGCCATAGTGAAAAGTTCATATGATCCACAGCGGGATTTCCGAGACTCGATGATAGAAATGATCATCGAGAAAGGTATCAGGCAACGAGACGAGCTCGAGGAACTCTTGGCATGTTATCTAACATTAAATTGTGATGAATACCATCATCTTATTATTAAGGTCTTCCAACAGGTATGGTTAGAATTGAACCATTTTGATCCATATTCTCGGTTTTGAGAACTATTATTGTAAACCATTGCTTGGCCGACTTCTAATGAGTTTGTAAATTTCTAATTGTTTTTTTTTTAACCTGGATATCCAACCCGCTATGCGAGTTGACTAATCCCAGGGCGACCACCTGCTTTGCAAATAGCCCGGAGTCACCGCATTTGAACCTCCGTGGTCAAAAGGGGATTTTTATTCCTCCTTGGATTTGAACTTGGGACCTCCTGGTACTTTTGACCTTTGGAGCCAAGCTCAAACCAATCAGACACCACCCTTGTGGTTTGTTTGTTCTTTTCTTTTTTTTGAAATGGGCGACCTCAGGCTTCGCCTAGACTAATCCCATGTCAAGTCGTTACTATAGGTTTTGCCTACAACCCTGAATCAAATCTCCCCGTGGCCACAAGCGTATATGTAGATAACAAGATTCGAACCCGGGTTGATTTTATCATCCCCTAAACTTTATTCACCGGACCACCAGGCTACCACCCTTGTGGTTGATTTCTAATTGTTACTTCCACCATGTTTGATCTTTTTCTTGTATTCATGATTTCAAACAATATGAAGAGAGTGGATCAAACCTCTATGGCATGGCATCTGACAAGCTTTTTCTTTTTCTTTTTTTTTTTCCCTTTTTAACATCTTTCTGGTTTGAAACAGTGCTCCCTCCCTCTATGCCATGACAATCACAGCTTTAATTTGGGATGTCTCATCAAAATTGTATATTTCCTCTTTATTGCAAAGTCTCAACCTACATGTTGCATACAAAACCCACAAGGTTGTAAACTATCAGCAATCTCTGCCCAAAAATCTGGTCCACAGTTGCAGATTATGTTTAAATATGCATATTGGGTAGTCCCCACATATAAACTTCATGTCCTAAAACATCATCTTTTTTATGTAAGATAGTCATCATCCCCACATAAACATGCATGTCTTAAAACCTTATCTTTTCTCTATCATCACCATCATAAGATATTAAACATATTGAATGGTAGTTAAGATATTTGGTTGATAATCAAACACTTCATTAAACTGTGTGTACTTAAGGAGAAAAAGAGATTCCAACATGTATAGAGAAGAATTGGTCCACGTGTAGCGGATGTAGGACTCTTAACAAGGGTGTAAATGATACGAGACAACTCGCGAGCTACTCGAGATCGACTCGGACAAAGCTTGGTCAATACTCGACTCGAATAGGCTCGGCTCGAACTCGAGCTCGACTCGACATATTAACGAGTCGAGTCAAGCTACCCAATACTCCACTCGAAAAGCTCGTGAGATACTAGATTATTTTATTTATAATCAGTTTTTTAAAATATAATCAGTTTTTATGATAAAATTTGTAAAATATAAATAATAAAAATGTCTTATAATTTTAGATATTATACAAAATTATTCATTTTTTAATTATAAAATTAATCAATTATTTTTTATTAAAATCACAATTAAAAAAAGACGAAAAAAACTATAAAAAAGGTTAGTGAAATTGTCCCACGTTGGAAGAGAGATGGTAAAGGAAAGGAGAAAAGATGTTATAAAAAGAGAGGAAGATGAATGAAATTTCTAACTTTGTCATTTTTTATGATAAAGTTCGAAGTTGATTCCTTTAATTTTATAAAAACTAAGAGAACACTTTTAAGTTTTAAAATTTATAAGAGAAAGACTCTAAAATTTCATAAATGTCAATGGGTGAGCTTGGTTCGAGCTTGATTTGAGTTGCAGTTCGAGCTTGTTTCGAGCTTGAGAAATAGTTACCGAGTTCGAGTCGAACTTTGATTTTTACTACTTGCGAGTTTTCGAGTCAAATTGGGTTTGGAGTTCGAGTCAAGTATGGTGATACTTGAGCTCGACTCGCATCATTTACACCCCCAACTCTAACACACCGGCTCCTATAGGGGGTACAAGGGTAAGGAGGGCTAGACAAGTACAAATTGCCCTAGAGTGTCCTCTCTCTAGAATGGGTGACTCACATACCATATGAGAATATGTAAAACCTCACTGAATTAGTCTCCAAAAGAGCCCTTAAGGAGAGAGGAGAGGTTCCAACATACATAGAGGAGAAATGGTCCAAGTCTAACTAATATGGGCCTCTAACAGTTTTAATGCATTAAAAATATGTCATATAGAATAATTTTACAGGATTTGGCCATTCTAGAGCTAAGGAAAAGGATTTGCTGATGATATAAACATCCTTTAACAGGATAACATATTCAAGTCCAAGTTGCATGCTACGTGAGTTGGTGATTACCTCTTTCCATCCAGAAATAGACAGAAATCTTGTCTGCAAGAAGCCAAGAACATCTGCTAGAAGAAAGAGTTTCTGGCTACAAGACCAATCCTTCACCAGCTAAGAACTCATGAACAATACCATCGACTTCAATAATGCTACAACCAGGATCTTTAGATACACCTTGTGCCTTCATCTTCCTCCTCAACTCTGTGGCATCGATAAATCTACCTTTAGAAGCATGAACATTTGACAACTGAACATAACCAGCACTGTCCTGCGGATCCAATTCAAGAAGTTTCTTGGTAACATGCTCTGCCATTTCAATATCATTATGATTTCTGCAAGCACTCAAAAGTGACTCCCAAAGCACCTGAGATTCTTTAAATGGAACTTTTGTAGCAAGTTTTTCAGCCTCATCTAACAGTCCAAATCGACCAAGCAAGTCTACCATACATCCATAATGCTCTATTTTGGGCTTGATTCCATGACCATGTACCATAAGTTCAAACATTTTGTGACCTTCATCCAGTAAACCAGAACGGCTGCAAGCTGATAAAACGCTTACAAACGTGACCTCATTGGGCTTGAAACCCTCTGCTAGCAATTCATAGAATAATTTTATGGCACTTTCACCAGAGCCATGGAGGCTTAATCCAGAAATCATTGAATTCCATGTACTAATATCCTTCTTTGAAGTTTTAAGAAACACTTCCAATGCCTTCTCAAGACATCCACATTTTGCGTACATATCCACAAGAGCAGTGGCTAAAAACCCACAGACTTCAATTCTGTTCTTATCAATGTAAGCATGAATCCACTCACCTTGGCTCAAAGCACTCACACGGGCACAAGAAGACAACACATTCACGAGTGTGTAATCATCAGGCATCATCCCTGCATTCTGCATTTCTTCAAAAAGCATAAACACTTCTTCAAACCTCCCCTCATGAGCATATCCTGTGATGATCACGTTCCAAGAAACAACATCTTTCACCGGCATGTCATCAAAAATACGTCTTGCTTCTATAATCAACCCATCCTTAACGAATCCTGAAATCATAAAATTCCAAGACTCTGCATTTCTCTCAGGCATTTCATCAAACAACCCTTGAGCTAACCCCATCATACCCATATCCACATAAGCACTCAAAATCGCATTCCATGATATAACATCTCTTTCAGACATTCTATCAAGCAGGTTACGGGCAATCTCAAAAAATCCTCCTTTTGCATACATATGAATCAAAGTATTACAAATATACACATCACGCTCAATACCAAACTTGATTGCATGTCCATGAACCTGTTTTCCAACACTGACACTATTAAGAACCGAGCAAGCTTTCAACACAAACGTAAAAGTGTACTTATCAGGTAAAACACCATCATCAAACAACATGTTCCTGAAGAGAGTGAATGAGCTCTCCGGGGTGGAGCTATTTGCGTAGGCCCGTATTAATGTATTATAAGAATAAGAATTTGGGTTCTGAATGTAGGTGAAAATGGAGTGAGGGTATAAGAGGCTGTGGGAAGAGGTTGGTGACATGGAAGCGGCAGAGGAAATGAGGCGAGCGGCGGAATAGGGGTCGTGAATAAGACCAGTTTTGAGCATATGAGCATGGGATTGGCGGAGCTCGGAGATGGAGGTAGCCATCTCTGTGAATGAAAGGATTGCTGGTGGTGGAGGGAAGATGATGGCGGCCATTTTTGTGAAATTCTTAGAGCATATCAATCCTACTTAAATTTCTTGAATCTTATCTGCCTTGTAAAAATATTATATTTTAAATCGAGTAAATTACGTTTTCAGTCCCCGTGCTTTGTTAAAACTTATGATTTTAGTCCCTGATTTACCATTTATTGTTGTTTCACCCTTATTGGTTACAATTTTTGACTATTTTGGATCCTCGTACTTAAAATAGGAATTAATTTAGAGACGAAAATGATAAAAAATTGCAAACCATAAAAACTAAAATCACAATTTCTAATAGGAATGAAAATCAAAATTATAATTTACTCTTTTAAATAACTAAAGTTGTATTTGTACTGTGTGATACATTTTGAAATTTAAAAGTTGAATACTTAGGTGTCGTTTGGTTCACATAATATTTTGGATGGAATGAAATTTGTTAAAAGAATTTGACTTTAAAGAAATTGGAATGAAATGTTGTCAGATTTGACCACCTGTTTGGTTCGCATACATTTAATTAGAATCTTGTCAAGTTTGATCATATGTTTGGTTGACAGACATTGGAATGGAATCTATTAAGAAATTTGAATATGTTTGTTTGGTTCACAAAATGTAGTTTTGGAAGTGAAATTAGATATTGTTAAATGACCAAAATGCTCTTTTTTGAAAATTTTAATTTTTTTAAAACTAAAAATATTTTAATGAAATAATTATTTTATATGTAAAACAATATAAAAACACAATTCAAATATAACTATAAGCCAAACGATGTTACTAAATCAATGGTGGTCAAAGGTGGTTCAGATCGGTGGTGGTCTGTAGTGGTTCAGATGGCAGTGGTCTGTAGTAGTTCAGATAAATGGTGGTTCGAGGTGGTTCAGATGGATGTGGTCAGCGGTGGTCAGATGGACGGTGGTGGTTCAGATCGGTGGTTATTCAAATTGTTGGTGGTCGGCAATGTCCACCGATGATTCAGATCGGTGGTAGTCGGTAGTAGGTGGCGGTGGTCTGAAGTGGTTCTGATCGATGGTGGTTCAGATCCGTGATGGATCAGATGGCGATGGTCGAAAGCAATTCAGATCGGTGGTGGTCCATGGTGGTTCAGATGGCGGTGATTGGCAGTGGTTAGATCGACGGTGAATTAGATCGGTGGTGGTTCAAATCGGCTGTGACCGGCGGTGGTTTAGATTGATAGTGATCGACAGTGGTTCAGTTTGGTGTTGGTCTGCGGTGGTTCAGATCAGTGGTAGTCTGCGGTGGTTCAGATGGCGGTGGTTGGCGGTGATTTAGATTGACGGTGGTCGAAAGTGGTCGATGATGGTCATATTGGATTTTATGAGATTAGGGTATATTGGGTTAATGACATATTAATATAAAAATATAGTTCAATGTGAAATTATCCTTAATCGAAATTCTGTAAATCGTGTTAAAGAAATTGGGGAAATTAAGAATAATATGTTTTGTACGAGAAGTTTATATCTAAAATAATATAAATTTTAAGAAAACAGATAAATATATAAAGTTTATCAGTTAATTATTGATTAGTTTTATTAAGTTTTAGAAAATTGTATAAGAGTTATAATAAATTAAATAACTTTAAATTTAAAAATATTTGTATGCATAACTCGTACCAAATGTTTAATTACTCGCGCAATGCAACGAAATATCTCGTGATTTTAATATTTCATTTTATTTTTTATCTCAGTCGATGTTATAATATGGCTTTAAGTGATTTTGAGAAAGCGATGATGTTTTTATTTTTGAATAAAATATATGTTTGAAGATATTATAAAAATTTGA